GACTGGGAGTTCAAAGTCCTGACGTGGGGGCTGGAACTCACAGCCTTCTGACTCTAAGACGAGTGCTACCAACTGAGCCAGGTTGTGCGTAGTAGTGACGTGTTTACTTATAGAACCTGGAAGGATAAGACTTTTAGCTGGTGTCCTGGCATCTGCTGACTAACGAGCCTCATCAGCTGAGCTAACGCAACATACCTGCGCTGCTCTTGTCATCTGACAGCTATATTCTTTCTGCCTCTTGGTTAAGCAGACTAGAATTCTCTGCGGTCAATCGTGGACTGGTAGATTTCCTCTAGTGTATCGGCTTCAATGGTTATGAGTGGAGTGTATCCGAGGAAACATCTCCTCTTGTCAACGTACGTTGAAACAAACCTGCGACTGGTAGAAATATAAGTCAGTCATGTTGCCATGTGTTTGTTGTGGGGCCATTCTCTCTGTCTGCACCCCCCCACCCGCCCCCCCCACCCCAAACTCTCCACCCATCCCCTCTGATGGAGATGGGACCTTCATTCTGTTATAGAAGTGCTCACTGTGGCATTGATCACCTAACCCCTTATCAGCCCAACTGTTCCCTCCGCTTAGCGGACACCAGCCTGCTCCAGGTCACCTGCACCTCCTGCCCCATCATTGGCGGTCGGGCATTCAGCATCTCTGCTCCCCCGCACTCTGGAACTCCATCCCACAATCCCCCCGCCTCACCCCCTCTCTTGCCTCCTTCAAGTTCTGTCCAAGGACTTGTGTCCTCAACCGTGCCTTGGTGGATTGAAGTGGCCAAATTATTATTATTTGTTTTGCCTTGTCCAGGCAACTTGGCCACACCGCCTGAGAGCAGAGAATAAGAAATTTGTGTCAATTTATTTCAGACAGAGCCGCATTGTGGTGCATTTCACACACACATCCTGGCAATAACATCTTCATATTAAAAATTGCAGTTATGTAGAATGGTGCATTGTACTATCTGTAACTCTCTCTCACTCACACCCACACTCACACCCACATACACACACAGACTATTTGTACTTGAGATGTTGTGTTAAAATAATAAGCACTCCTGGACGCTACCCTGCGTGAAGGGCCCTGTAGTGGAGTCCTGTAGCTCAGTGGTTAGAGCACTCACTTTGCAAGCGAGAGACCTGAGTTCAATTCCAGGCAGAGGGCGAAACCTTGGGCAAGTTTCCTTACTCCACACAGAGCCTAATAATAATCCTCCAAAACCAAAACAATAATAAATTGGTCATTTTCAGTCCACGACTGTTTGTGGGACATTGCTGTGCGCAATTGGCTGCTGCGTTCGCCCACAAATATACAGTCAATTCACTTTACAGTATATTCTGTGAAGTACTTTGGGACGTCTAGAAGACGTGAAAAGCGTTATATCAAATGCAAGGATTATTATTATTATTATAAATGTAAGTTGTTGCTGTTGTTTTGCTGATGGGAGTTAGGAAGGCAAAAGAATTGAAAGAATGTAATAAATGGAATGACGTTTCAGCAGCTGTGGGAGTGAAATGGTTAATGAAACACGAAGGCTTGCCATCTATTTAAATTGCACCCGACATCTCAAAATACCATGGGATCTGCCGCCAGCCTTAATCCCGGACTCTCTTCTTGTGCTTTACCCTCGGTAAATAAAGGATAGATTGGTGGCAAAGTTGTTAAATATTAATAGCAGTTTTGCATATTGGATTTTTATTAGCTTTGATGCGTCTGTGTCAGGAACAGAGATATCCTACTGCTGCATTTAAACGTGTCAAAGGTATATTTCTTGTTCAGTTTATTTGGTTCACTGCTCTCCTCGATGTACTGAGGTCTGGCTTTTCAGGCATCCTTGCCCACATCTCTGTAATAATCATTGTGGCAGTTTATATAGTGCTCCGAGATGCTACCCTGCATGAAGGGAGCTATGAAATTGCAAGTTGTTGTTGTTGTAGCACCTTTCACGTTGGGAGCTTGTCTCAAAGCACTTCATAATGTAGTAAAGTGTAGTGACTGTATTTTCGAGGTGAAGGAGACAACCAATTTGCACACAGCAATGTTTGACAAACAACCATGAAGTGAGTGACCAATTTTTATTTACCTTGGGGGATTGTTGGCCAGGGAACCGGGAGAGAGAGAAACTCCCATGTCTTTTGAGCAATGCCAAAAGCCGTCTGAACAGGCAAAGGCAAACCCACTCACAAGAGGCAGCGACTTCACTCAACCACCAAAGGAATAATAATAATAATTGCATTTAACATAGTGCCTGATCACATCGTCGAGGCGTCTCAACGCGCTTCACAGAACATACTGTAAAGCGTGGTGACTGTGCATTTTGTGTGCGGCAGCCAATTGCGCGCAGCAATGTCCTAGCTTCAGGAGAGATATCATTGTTCCTGTTTCTCAACTAACCTGTTCTTTATAAAGCGAATCAAAAGATTTCCTGAACTCAGTCTACAATCCAAAGTCACAACGACTGCCACAGATTGGCAGTCAAATTCCCCAAATTCCACTGACTGAAAACGACTATTGATTTTAACATGAGGTGGTGGGGTGGGGGGGGAAATATTACAACGTCTTTGAATGGTGATATTTCCTTGCTGGAGAAATGCTATTTTCTTCATTTCGCAAGATTAATATTTCTGGGTGTCTAATGGAATATATTTGTGAAGTACTTATCAATAACCAGACAGCCCACCCATTCCCAGTGAGGTTTCATGTGCGCCGTTTAATATTGTCTGCAACAGTAGAGGAAGCAGCAAAGCTTCCCGTACGACACTTTGTACTTTAGGCTTCATTTCACACAAAGCTGTTCATTGTTACAAAGCGGCAGCTGATGGAGTGTTGAGTTGTGCGCGTTCAGGATCTCACTGTGGGAAGATATATGTACTTTTTATAGCAGCTGCGACTCGAAGCTGATCGAGCTGAAGACGTAGTCCAACAAAATATCAAATAAAAAGTAAATAGAGATTATAATTCAACTAAAAGCCTCATAAAAATCAGAGGTGGGAACTGGACGAGAGGCACAATGCACACCCTTCAGATTCTGATCGGTTCCAATCAGATAAATCAAGTGGGATATTGGAACCAAACTGTGAAATGGTGAAAGTTGTATGACGCAAAGTATCTAAGAGGGTTGGGATACTTTTAAGCAGAGTGATGGTTTCCGCGTATGTCAGACACCCGGCTGCCACGCCTCCCCCTACCACCACCCCCCCCCCCAAAAATGTAAGCAGATCAGAGGAGACAGATGATGTAATAAGAGGTAATAATAATCCTTGCATTTGATATAGCGCTTTTCATGTCTTCTAGTCTCAAAGCACTTCACAGAATATATTGTAAAGTGAATTAACTGTATATTTGTGGGCGAAACGTGGGGGCCAATTGCACACAGAAGTGTCCCATGGTCGTGGATTGAAGTGACCAAATTATTATTTTATTTATTTCCTTGAGTGATTATTATCAGGCTTGTGGAGCAAGAAAACTTGCCCAAGGTTTCGCCCTGCCGGTATTCGAATCCAGGTCTCTCGGTTGCGAGGCGAATGCTTCTAACCACTGAGCTACAGGTATGGATTGGTTCTGCAATTGGAAAGACAAATCCTGAAATAATAGAAATCTACACCCCAAAAAAGGAGGCCGTTCGGCCCATTGGGTCTGGATCAGATCATGGAGCAAGTGGTTCATTCAATCCCACTGCCCTGCCCTATCCCCACATCTCCTTCAAGCCTCTGTCTTACATATATATATATACCTGTCTACTTCCCTTTGGAACCCACAATGGCCTCTACCTCCACCACCTTACTTGGCAGGGCTATTATTCCATATTCGAACAACTCTGCGTGAAACAAAAATCTCTTTTTCGCAAAAGAAACTTGACTTTGGTAGATATAATCCCTGCTCATTGGCGCACAATAATGAACAGAATAGGTTTAGAGCAGGGGGACCTAGATAGGGACCTGGGGTTATCAGTGGACATGTCGCTTTCAATGTCTGCGAAATGTGGTGAAGCGATTAATTAAGAAGTAAAAGGTAAGGGCACAGCAGGGGCACCAGTCCCGTTAGGACCACCTCAGCCATCAGAGCTTTGGCTCACAATTAACGCAGTGGACAGAATACTGGATACAGAGCCGAAGGGATTGAGTAAACGTCAGCGGAGCTATGCTTAGGCTTTGGAGTGCTCGCTGGTCACACTTCATTTGCAAAGCCAAGTTCTGCTTCGATCACCGTGCCACAAGAGAAAAATCCTTGCAGCGAAAAAAAAAGGATGCAATAAAGAGGAAGATAATTGATTCCAAGTACAGGGGCAACGAGCTCTGATAAAAGGATAAAGAAAATGATGCTTTACAGTCTGGAAAGAAGGCAGTTTAGAGAAAGGGTGCAGACGTCACAAAATACTTTAGTGAAAGTGTGATAAACGTGTGGAATAATGTAGCAAACAAAGCACAAGAGGGGATAGAGGGCTTATTCAAACCATGAGTGGGTACCATGATGAGACAGTTAATGGTCCGGAGGTTGACCTTCAATGAGCCAAATGCACTTATGTTAAGTTCTTATAAGGCTGTCAGTATTAATCAGTCAGAGTCAGAGCTTAGTGAAGGCTATGCCAAAGCTTGGTTGCGTTCAGGGAGTAATAATAATATATAATAACCCTTGCATTTGATATAATGTCTTATCACGTCTTAGAAACGTCTCAAGCGCTTCACAGGGTATACTGTAAAGTGAATTGACTGTATGGTTTGTGGGCAAAACGTGGCAGGCAATTGCACACAGCAGTGTCTTACAGACAGTGGTGGATTGAAGTGACCAAATTATTATAAACCAATAAATTATTATTATTTATTTTTACGATGCCCCGTTAAGAGCTGGGACATTCTGTGGATTGTACGCGTCCAAGTTTGCTTTGGATATGAAACCTTCTCCTTTTTACTTCCCCTCCAAAGGTCGCTGTTGGGCAAGGAAACGCGTCCGACGGAACCCAAGGCGTGAAGCACAGCGAGACCGAGAGCGCTCCGAAACATGCGTTAACGAAAGGCAGCAAAGCTTCGGCTCTGAGTCAGTGGATGTTACAAACAGTGCCCGGAGCCGGGAACACCACTCTCCTGGGATTTCCGTACACGTCGCCGAACTCTTACTCTGAACAGGATATCTGGGATTGGCTGGGGAATGGCTCGGATCAGCGGGAGGAATCCCACACCAGGATCAAGAGGAGGCCGATTGTTAAGACCGGAAAATTCAAGAAAATGTTCGGCTGGGGCGATTTTTACTCGAACATCAAAACCGTCAAACTAAACCTGTTGATCACGGGTAAAATCGTGGATCACGGCAACGGGACCTTCAGCGTGTATTTCCGCCACAACTCGACCGGCCAGGGCAACATATCGGTCAGCCTCGTCCCCCCGACAAAAACGGTGGAGTTCGACCTGGCGCAACAGACAGCGATCGACGCCAAAGATTCGAAAATATTTAACTGTCGCGTGGAGTACGAGAAGATCGATAGGGCCAAGAAGACGGCGCTGTGTAATTACGACCCGTCAAAGACTTGCTACCAGGAGCAGACTCAAAGCCACGTGTCCTGGATCTGCTCAAAGCCCTTTAAGGTTATATGTATCTACATCTCCTTTTACAGCACGGACTATAGACTGGTGCAAAAGGTGTGTCCTGATTACAATTACCACAGCGATACGCCATACTTTCCCTCCGGATGAAGCTTATTGACTTGCTTCAGTGACGTGGTGGCTCTGGGATGATAAGCGGGATGATTTGCGCGCTAAAGGCCTTGATGGTAGCAGTTTATTTAATAACTGTTGTGAAGATGTTCTGTGCCAAATGTTCTGGAAAGGCAAATAGACTTCCCTCCTCCTCCTCCCCCCACTCTATCCCCCCCCCACCCTCCCCCACCTCACCCACATGCATACACACACACAAAGACTAAAGAGGCTAATGAACAATATGGAGAATTTTGCACGGACAGTGCCACTGATAACCCTTCATGGTTAAAGCTGACCCACTCCATCTGACCATCGTCCCAGATGCACAAAAAAAAATTCTTAAATACAAAAATAATCCAAGGTGTTTTTGTTTTGCTAAAAAAAAATTGTGCTCGATTTTGCCAAATCGCTCAAATCACAAAAGATTAATATGTCTCATTGTTATCTTAATTGTCCTTCTCCGTTTCCAACCATCTCTCCCCCTCCCTCCCCACCCACTCCTGCCAGCACGTTAAGTATTAACATGGAAACTTTTAAGGCTTTTTTGGAGTGAAGAGGAAAGCTAAAAAGAGAGCGAACTGGATAAGTAATGGAATAATTAACTTCTTCTTTAGTCAGGGACACTGATAAATTGCAGTTACACTGCCTATACTTCACAGGCACTTCACTAGTTTAGCAACACTAATTTCTCCTTGTCCCTGGCAGGTTACCTTCATGGTAGGAGTCTGGGCCGGGAATGATACATTTCTGATTTGTTTGTGCCAAGGGATTGAAAGCGTGTAGCAGGGTAAGAAAGGGAGGAACAAAAAGAGAGAAGATAACTCATAGTGGAGTCCTGTAGCTCAGTGGTTAGAGCACTCGCCTCGAAAGCGAGAGACTTGGATTCCTGATAAGGGCGAAACGTTGGGCAAGTTTCCTTACTCCATGCACCTTGTTCACCTAGCAGTAAGTAGGAACTCAGTTGTTAGTCGATTGGCAGATCGCTTTCCATGGATAATAATCCCTTAAAAAAAACAATAATAGTTTGGTCACTTCAATCCACGACTGAGTGTCGGACGCTGCTGTGCGCAATTGGCTGCTCGTTTTGCCCACAAATATACAGTCAACTCACTTTACAGTATATTCTGTGAAGTGCTTTGAGACGTCTCGAAGACGTGATAAGGCTCTATATCAAATATAAGCATTATTATTAAAGAACCATGAAATTTATCGCACAGAACAAGGCCATTCAGCCTATCGTGTCTGTGCCATCTCCCTCAAGAGCAATCCTTTCAGTCCCATTTACCTGCCTCTTTTTCCCCCCATACCCCGTGTATTTAACTCGCATCTCTCTGTCTCCTCTTTCCCCCTCTGCTTAACATTCTTTTCATCTTCCTTTTTTGTCCAATTTGCCCACATCTGCAGCTCGCTGTGTACTTGCTACTAAGCTGGGAATCGCCTCAGTGCACCTCTATTCCTAAATCGGTTATGCAACGAAAGTTCATTTCCTGGCTTGTGGAGGTGAACATATGAAACATATTAAAAGGGAGATGGACATTCAAACAGAACAGGGAGATTTTCCCTGGCCAACAAACCTCCATTAATTGGCCATTTACCCTTTGGCTGTTTGTTGGATGTTGCTGTGCTCAGATTGGCTGCTACATTTACCTGCAAATGCACAGTCACTACACTCAGAAAGAGCTTTCTGAGACATTTTGACGTGATAAGGGGCTATATCAAACGCAAGGATTATTATTAATGCCTTTAGCATGCAGGTGTGAAAAAGGGACTATTAAACTGATGCCTGTAACAGCAGAAACTAGGGAGATAAAGGGTCTGGCGAGAATTTGACTATAGATAATAGCACAAAAGCTTAAATGATCATAAATAATGTCATTGTTTGCACTGACAAATGCTCTCTTCCGCACTCATGTATGTTAAATCCATATCTCTTTGTGATCTGCCCGGGCGAGCTCCACTCCCGCAGTCCTACTCAGTAACTGCTTGTTGCAGCGACAGCACAACCGATCAGATAAACATTTAACGTTCTGGAGATGTCAGACCGGTGATATCAGCCTTTGAGAGCCATTCCTTCAATAATTGTTTGCCCTTTTGTCTCTTAAGGAGGCTCTTTGGAGGAGTCAAAACCTAACCTATTTTCTGTTGTGCATCTGGGAAACGTAACTCAGTGTAAATATTGTTGCTTATTAGATGGAATTAGAGATATCAATAAAGCACAAAGTCATTCATGATAGGCATCTTTCTGTGACTTCTGTTAGAAACAAAAGTTAAACGAAAGAAAGATAATTCAAGCTTTCGACCTGAGTAATGATTCATTTCAGTTGTAGCTTTATTCGCTGTCACCACACAAAGACACAAAGAATGTTTTAAATCAAGGTATGCAAGGGGAGATGATATCCCTTTTATAAGGGACATATCATCGGCCACAAAATACACAGACAATTCACTTTGCAGTATATTCTGTGAAGCACTTTGAGACGTTTCAAAAATGTGATAAAGCGCTTTATCAATTACAAGGATTATTATTATTATTTTGTTATAATGAGCAGTAGTGTAAACTACTTCACAGATGACCATGCCTATTGCTGGTCAGTTGAGTGAGTAAGATGCTCATATCTGGGTAATTCAACCCAAATGAGCTGCTCAATTGATAGCCTCATCACATGGCTTGGGAAAAGGAGAATTTCACCTGTTAGACACTCAACTCACGGGCAAAGAGTACTGAAATTAACACCAACCTGCATCATAATAAGCCTTTGTTTACCTAGCAGTAAATAGGAAGTGTCAGTCAGTCAATTTCTGCCTTCATGTAACAAGGCAAAAAGACAGAGGAGTTACATTATGGGGCAGAGTAGAGATGACTTTAGGTATATCACAAGATCACCAAAGAAGTTTTAATGAAGAAGGTCCATTGTCCCACCTGGTCTCATCATTGGAGTCCTGTAGCTCAGTGGTTAGAGCACTCGCTTTGCAAGTGAGAGACCTGAGTTCACTTCCAGGCAGAGGGCGAAACCTTGGGCAAGTTTCCTTACTCCACACAGAGCCTAATAATAATCCCTCCAAAACCAAAAACAATAACAAATTGGTCATTTTCAATCCATACGACTGTTTGTGGGACATTGCTGTGCGCAATTGGCTGCCGCGTTCGCCCACAAATATACAGTCAATTCACTTTACAGTGTGTTCTGTGAAGCGCTTTGGGACGTCCTCCCGACGTGAAAAGCGCTATATCAAATGCAAGGATTATTATTGTTATTATTATTATTATCGTCCAGAATATTCACTCTACCAACTCTCATCTCAGCATCAAGCAATTTTTAAATAGTTCACCCTTCCTGGTAACACATTCCAACTGTTAATTATCTTCTGGTAAAGAAATACTTCCTGGTGCCTGACCTGAAATTGCCCTTTACAACCCTAAACCTGTATCCGACAACAATAAATTACATTCGTACAGCGGCTTTCACGTCAGGAGGACGTCCCAAGGCGCTGAACAGTCAGGGATCTGCACCCGAGCTGGTAATTGGGATCAGGAGTGGTGGAGAGCAGGGTAAGGGTAGGAGGGTGACCGAAGGCATGGTTGAAGAGGAGGGTCTTGAGACGGATCTTGAAGGAAGCAAAGTTGGAGGTAAGACAGAGGGACTGTGGGATGGAGTTCCAGAGGGTGGGAGCAGAGCGGTTGAAGGTCTGCCTGCCAATAGTGGAGCGGGCATGATGGGAGCATGAAGCAGGCTGGAGCCCGCTGATTGGAGGCAGCGGACAGGTTGTAGGGGATTAGGAGGTCTTTTGTTGTCTCGACATACCTAAAAATATTTAGTTTCTTTAAAATCCCTATGAGATCCTCTCTGAGTCTCCTTTCAAGCTGAAAGAGACCTACTTTGTCTAATAGGTGCTCACTGGCCCATTCCACCAACACTGGAGAATCCTCCTCATTTATATCATTATTAAACGTTGTCAGGATATGCTCAGTGTCGCTATAAAGATCCCAGTCTAACTTCATGCACTGTTATTGATTTTCTATATCTTTCCCAGCACATCTAGTAGATCTTGTTCTCAAAATCTAGTGCGTTTTTATCAGATCTCTCTGAAATTTCTCTCCAAGTTCGCTGTCTGATTGACGAAATAACTCACAGCCAACTACACGTTTCATGGAAACGACTGAAAATCATCTTAGATCATCTGAAGATCATCGTCGTGACAAATGAAAGCAGTGAAGATATCCCCGATCTCAGTGTTCCCCTCACCAAACTGCTCACTGCTCTGTGACACGGGTTCATTTTAACTCTTCGGATCAACAAATAACAGGAACATTAGTTGGCTGTCTTTCAAAAGAAATTACTGAGAGAGAGAGAGAGAGAGAGAGAGTTGAAAGGAGCAGGGAATGGCACAGATCCCAGATTGTGATGGTTAGAATGCCTTTTACTGTAAATAAACATTCACAAACAGACGAATGTTTTATATCTCAACTCAGGAGTAACGCAGGACAAAATATAGCTGTAGAGTTGCTCTTAAAAGTAATGTAAATGAGCCTTTAGATGAAATTTGTATCAATGGTTTGTATGGTAAGTGTGAATTAGTATAACGTGAGTCTTTGATCTTAGATCAATTAATAATTTGATGGATATACATAATTCTGAGCTTTTTGACTGAAGTGGTGTCAAGGTGGGAATTGAGTACTCTGATGGGACTTAAAGACACACACATACATCCATTCAGAATTATTTATTACTATGTTTCATGGGAGACCGAATTTTATAATACATTATTAAGACTTCCCGTGCTTACTCCCCTGTGAGTTCATTTCTGTTTAATGTTATTCATTAAAGGTTTTGTTGCCTGTGTGTCACTATGAATGTATTCATTAAATTGATTGTCTGGAAATCATTTCTAAATGAGTACATTTGTTACAATACGCAGCCGTGAACTTACCACCAAATTTACACCAAAACGCATTGATATGAGCAAGGTTTTCATATAAATAATCCGATCGCGCATTTGACCCGTGATACAGCGCATTGATTTATCCCGTGACAGATCTGTTTTACCCGAGTGAGCCTTATTTCTGCTGAGATTCATTGCCATCAGTTGAGCTGTTTTACTGCTCTTTACGG